GGGTCAAGTCTTCTTAATTTTTCTCAATGGTGGGCAATACTGGTCTGTTTTTGTTCTCTAGCTTGTGGTTTTTACTGAGTTTCCTCAAAGCGAACCATTCATAAGTTTGCCCATGTTATGTTTGAACTAAGTCAGAGTTAGATATATCTTATATTCCCATGAAAACTTCTGGAGCATATTGGTATCCGACATAAGAAAATTCTATTGCACCTTTCTTGTCAGAACAACTTGCAGAAGGTTTTTTATTTCAATGGTCTTGTTCCACTAATAAGACTGAGTTGTCAAATAGATAATAATATGAACCTTCGCAAGCAATATCTACTGTTGTTGAAAACTTCTCGCAAACTCACCTACGTTTTCCATAAGAAACAGCGAGTTTGTATATTCGTAAAAGTTCCAGGAACTATTTTCTGGACCTTCATAATAGGGCAATTGGTCCGCAAAATTCGTTATACCATTCGGAACATTTCGTTCATGGCATCCAAAACTGTTTGGCGTTATATTCTGAGGGCGTACATTTCATAATGGTAAAAATATAGAATAGTGGATTTTAATATGTCAAAATAGAACCGCACTCGCCCAAGCTTTACTTTCTTCCTGACCTGAGTTTTTAACTGAATCTTTAAACTCTTCTTTTTCCTTCATTGCCCACTACTTTCACTAGATGAAGTTACTTCTTCACTACTTTCACTTTGTTTCACTCTTCTCTTCCTTCTTTGGTGTCGCTTTTGGTAACTTGCCCCTCTTGCTTCAAGTTGTAGCATCTTTGCCTCATGTTCACGCTAGTCAGTTGTATTAATTCCCATTGTCCTTTTGCCTTTGGGCTCTGGTCGCCCGATCTTCAGGTTTTTAACCTATATCCTAGAAGATTTTGGTCATAGTTTTGTTTTGAGTCTTCGCTTATTGTTTGCATGACTCTTTCCTGAGTTTCCCGGTTCAAGTCTTCAAACAGAGCTTGTCCATATGGATAAGCTCGTTTCCAAATATATGTTTTGGGTAGCATTCTGGTTTTCTTTCCACTGTAAACCAATAATATCTTTTGTGAATGGGAAAGCTTTCCCAACGTTTTGTCATGTCTTGGCCGTCGATTTTATTTCTGTAGTGGTTTTATTTGTCATGGAAACATGTTTTTCATACTAACATTTCATTTGGTACTGTCCATTTGAGTTTTTTCTTAAATAATTCATCCCTTCTCAGTCATTGTCTGCAAAGTAAGTTTTTATGAATTTTGCAAACTTTCGTTTTGCAAGGTCATGTTACATAGGTTCTCTTCTCTCTCTGCCCTAACTTTTTCTCTAAACTCTTCAACCAAATATACCATCTCTATGGTTCTCTGTGTAGTTCTTTTGAGATAAAATGTTCTAGAACGTCAGGTGTTATATTTTCCCTCAGCCATGTTCATTTCATACCGTCCAAAATATCTGCATCTTCATATCTTTCATGGCATTAAGCCGCGCTGAAAAATACCAGCTATATCTGGGGTTCACCATTCAATTCCATTGCGTCTAACAACTTCTTGGATTGAGGTTGGTAAAGTTTATGAACCACCTATCCGGATTAGCTTTTATGCCCATCTCATTGTATTCATAGTCTGCAGAAACAAAAGTAGGTTTGTTTCGCATATTGGTTTAGGTCTGGAATGAACCTTAACCAAATGTTTCATTTTCTTATAATGTTTTTGTTGATTAACCTTTTATTTTCACGAGGTTCAGCCAAGTTGAACGTTATATGGTCGTTAAGTAAAAAGGATTATTGGTATTGCGTCATTTTCTTTCAGTACTTCCATTCTATGCTGAATATTTTCAATCTGATGTTGGAGTCTTTTGTATGTCGGTGAACATTTCATTCGATATCCTTCTACTATGTCAGCCGGAATTTTTCTTAGATCTTGGAAAGATTCCAATATTCACCTCATACTCTTTGTTGAGGGTCAATGATTTTTCGGCTGTTCCAAATCTTCATCTAGTTTCTGTGCAGTTAGTTTTTCCCAAAGGGAGGGACTTGGTTTTGTTTCCTTCAGGCTCTTTCTTTGCTGTTTGTGCTGAACCTATTTCTTCCATGTCGGTTGGTATCCTGAACTTCTTTCCTGTTGAGTTTTTTCTTGTATTTCCTCATCTGCTGGTATTTCATATATTCCGAGAACCGTTTTTAACAAAAGTTCCTATCTAAGGTCATCCGGACTCATAACCTTTCTTCTTTTCGTTCCGTCTCTATTTTTTTACGGGCGTTTCATGAAGAGAGTTGAATTTATCATTTACTCTGACATCAAATATTCGGAGTAAATCAATACCATGTCATTTGGATGATATGCTATTAAATCATATCACTTTGCGAGTTTGTATTTTCCAGTTGAAGACTTTATATCCGTTTTATCTGAACCATAAAAGCTAAATAGGTTCGGGTTCAGTTATTTCTTTCCTTGAAGCTTTCTAATAGCTTCTATATATCTGTCACTAAAAGTCAAGAGTACTGGGTAACATAATCTTCCTTTAAGCATTTTTAAGAATTCTTTGGTTTCCTTTTTCTCTACTTCTTTTATGTCTTGCTCTGTTGTAGTGCTGTGGCAGGGTTTTGAACTGTTGGTTGCTGTGCAGGGTTTTTGAACTGTTTGGTTGCTGTGGCAGGGTTTTGAACTGTTTGGTTGCTGTGCAGGGTTTTGAACTGTTGGTTTGCTAAGGCTGGATTTTGAAACTGTTGTTGTTGTGCAGGGTTTTTGAACTGTTGGTTTTGGTTGTTGTGCAGGGTTTGAACTGTTGGTTTTTGGGTTGTTGTTGTTGTGCAGGGTATTTGAAACTGTTGGTTTTGGTTGTTGTTTGTGGTGCTGGATTTTGAACTGTTGTTGTTGTGGTTGGTTTTGGTGCATGCCCTGTGGTCTATGTCCATGTGCACGATGTAAATGTTTTAGGTAGTCTGGTGCAGGTGCCTTTCTCTTGGAGGGTTTGGTGGTATATAAGTTCCCACCAGCTGGCAACATATGTTCCATCTGCAGCATAGTGTCCCTACCTGAACTTTTCGGTCTTAAAGAAAGCCCAATTACTAGGTCTGTTTTGGTCTTGTTGTAAACTCTTTTTCTGACTTTCCACAACAGTTGCTGCTCTTAACGGCGTCATAGGCAACTTTGAAACTGCCTGTCTCGTTGCTGCATCTGTTATTTTCGTCATATTTTGTGCTACTTCTCTTAACTCTTTGTGAAACCTTACAGACTTCAAGTTTCCTTTCCCAGATGAGAAGTCGTTCAACTAGTTTCACCTTCTATGAAGAGCTTCGAAGGCAATTCTTAAAGTCAGCATTCATTAAAGCTTCATTTTGAACTGTCCTTCATCCGCTTGTATTTTTGTCCTTATTGACCCTAATAAAGTTGGGCTGCTTTAGCGTTGGGCTTGTGGCATTAACCAGTCATTATTAGCTTTTATATATATCTGCGCTTTTCATTGCCATTTTGCATGGCTGCCGGTCGTTTAATTTTTTAAACTTGTTCCTTGTGCTAAGTTTTCATAACTGTACGGTTTTGGTTTTGCAACTGTAAAAGTTTTTCTGCCTTTACATTTGCTTCAACTTCTTTTTATACTCAATCGCTATCCATATATGTCCTTCAGGGCTTTTTTGTTTTATCTCTTCATCTTTCAAGGTACTTTAATCATTGAGTAGTTATGGTTTTTCCCAAATTTATGACATCTTGTCATTTTTGCTACTTCTGCTGCTTTTCCCCTGACACTTTTTTCGCACCATATTCCTTCTGTACTTAGTTCTTTCAGTTTGTTCTTCTTTCTTTCTTTTCTTACGTTTAACTCAATTGAGTTTTCTTTGTCTGTCTGGTCCATATTCAACATAGTTTCTTTTCGTTTCACTTATTTGTTTCTGTATGTCTTATGTTTTGACTTTTTTGCAGCATCTGTTTTAATTTTTGATTTTTGGAGTGAACTCAAATCATTTGACTTTGAGGTTATAGAGAAAACCTTTCAACAAAGTTGTCGACCTTCTCATAATGTTTTACTCTTCATCTCTTGAGGTTTCTTAATGGAATATCCCATGTCGAATTCATAAGCAATTTGGGTGTGCATTGCAAGTTTGGGGTTTGAAGCTTTCCTAATATCATACAGTTGTTGTATGACTTTTCCAACTGTATAGTTTCCTTCCGGGAACTCACCATCTTCGTTTGGAATTCCAGTCGGATATATTGGACAAACCTCATGTATGCAGCGTTAAGGTCGACATAGTATATCTTTCATCTGAGTCGAACTTGTCGCAACAATTGGTCCAGTTTGTGGAAATTCAAGTGAGTCTTTATCTTCTGAGAAACTTCTCCTGTTATCTCATAAACAGTCGAAGGCAACCTGTTTCATATAAAACCTTCTGACCTAACTCAGATGCTCTCCAATACAATTTGACGTCAATTGGATGTCTCAATGGAAGTTTGTTTATAGCATCTTGAAGTTCTTTGCAACCTCATTGGAAGTTCTTCTGGTTCAGGTTGGTATCCGAACATACCAACCCTTGTGGAACTGTGTACTTCTTTTGTACTAGAACTTTGTCTGGAACAACTTTTGGTCTTGCTAACAATGAAAGTTTGTTTCGTCTTTTGGTACAAAAGTTTCTGTCAGCTTGTCATCTGGAATTGGTTCCAACAAACCTTTCTCGAAAAGAATGTTTACAGCTCTGACAATGTTGCACTTACTTTTACCAAAGAATGGGTTTGTAAGACTTTCGTTCAACATGAAGTGGTTGTGGACAATTACAATCTTCAACCATGGTAAGTCTTTGTCAACAACATAGTCGTCATGTGAAGAACCTTTAGCTGTAGGTATGTTGACTCGGATATTGACATTTGCCAACGGTGCAATTTTTGCCAATTGACCTCTGAGAATGTACCTTGTCTTCACACATGACTCAAGATACTTCATCTTCTCTTCTGAACAAGACCAGAGTTCCTGAGACATGTAAGAATGCAAGGTTCGTTGACAATTGTTTCAATTGAATTGTAAATTCCATACCTTGTCAAGTCAATGTCAGACTTATTTATGAACGGGAAGTATCCAGCATGTTGTCTGACTGCTTGAGGGTTAGGTTGGTACCATTCGAACTTGACACTTGCAATTCCTTCAATTGCATTCAAAATGTCTGAGTCGGAGTCAACCATTTGTTCTCTCTTTGTAGTCTTGAAAGCGTCAAGAAGTTTTGCGGCTGTTTGTTCATTGCCATGTGCATAGTAAATGTGACCATCCAAATACATTCTGTTTCTCCTCTGGTAGAAAACATATTCTGGGTCAACTCCTGTGTTCGCGTCATCTGCATAAAGTTGTTTATATCCCACTTCAGGGTTTGTATAAAACTCTTTCCATCTCATATTTGCATACCATGGTGGCAAACCTAACGCAGCGTCATTTGACATGGCAGTTTGCATTTGTACATCTGTTGGCACTTGACCATAGTTTGCCATTGCAGTTTGTATTCTAACTTCATTTGGAATATTCTCTGGGTTTGGTTGTCCAGGTTGCTGTGCATTCGCTAAGTTCTGTGCGTCCATTTAATATTAGATAAAAATATCTCTTACGAGTACATATGCTGAACATTTGCAGGCATTGGTTCATCTTCATATTCTCTGTACTTTTCTGCCACGTCAAATAAATAAATGACACAATGGAAAAAACTAAAACAAGTAGTCCTATTTCAAACCACATTTACTTACTAATAAAATTTCTTTATTGTGACACTTTCTCCAGTTTATAGGACCTTTCTCATATTCTATCTTGTCATATATAAACTCATAGTCATGTATGTCCTCTAACCATCTCATAACGGTTTCCAAACCACTTTTATCGATGTAAAGTAAAAGCATGGATGGTTATGTATAACGTCTAAAGTTTCTAAAGAGTCTCTCAAAGTCCAGTCTACTTGGTATTGAAAATCCATGTGTTATAGAACGGCGGTCCACTATAAAGAAAACATTTTCCTTGTCTTTATATTTTTCATACAACTCTGTCCAATGACATCTCACAAACTCTATACCCTCAATATATTTTTCTATGTCCTCTTTGAAAAACATTTGTATAGTTAAGATATAAAACTTTTGACATAAGTGTTTCAATGTCATGAACTCTTATAGCACCACTATATAATAGTCTAGCAGATATACTATCCCAGTCTATATATTCTGCTTTTTTTCAAAACCTCTCTCACAATATTTTTCTTATCTAATGGTATACGTTCCATCTTACCTATAGGTATCTTTTCTTTTAACTCTTTCAATATATTGTTTGTGTCTGGAATATGTTTGAGACGGTCCATATAGTTGTCGAAGTCATTGCATATAATCTTTGAGTCAGGAAATACGGTATGACATAAATGGGATATATAGAAACTTCCACCGAACAATCTCCAAATGTTAGACATTCGGTAGTTTTCTTAAGTTCTCTCAATATAATATCTTTACATCTACTCTTATTTCCAAAGAACGGTAACGGTGGTTTTGTAAAATTCATTTATATATAATAATAAAAATTTTACCCGAAAAGTGACAAAACATGAAAACATATATAATTTGTGAAAAGTGACACAAAAAGTGACGCCATTAATATGATGTAAATAACAACGGTTTTTGGTTTTGTCACCGGCTGGTCGGCTGGGGTTCGGTCCTCCTCTTGGGTCTTGGGCAAAATTTCTTATGGCTAGAGGGGCAACGCCCCTGGAAGCCCCACTCACGTGACTCATTTAGCATTCAGAATATCGTTATGGAGTATTATTGATAAACCCTAAGGTCAGGTATGTGGGGCCTCCAGGCACTTCGTGCCTCTAGCCCTGAAGATGTTTAGTATAACTTTTGTCCGGACAAGTAAGGGTCTATCGTCGCTACAGGAAAAGTTACAGGCGTTTCCAAGGAAGTATACTTTGAGAAGCTTCTTCTGGGTCGAAAACATTATATAATGTGTCGCTTTTCACAAATTATATATGTTTTCATGTTTTGTCACTTTTCTGTCACTTTTCAGGAAAAAACATTTTTATTATTATATATAAATGAATTTTACAAAAACCACCGTTACCGTTCTTTGGAAATAAGAGTAGATGTAAAGATATTATATTGAGAGAACTTAAGAAACTACCGAATGGTCTAACATTTGTAGATTTGTTCGGTGGAAGTTTCTATATATCCCATTTGTGCCATACAATATTCCCAGACTCAAAGATTATATGCAATGACTTCGACAACTATATGGACCGTCTCAAACATATACAGACACAAACAATATATTGAAAGAGTTAAAAGAAAAGATACCTATAGGTAAGATGGAACGTATACATTAGATAAGAAAAATATTGTGAGAGAGGTTTTGAAAAAAGCAGAATATATAGACTGGGATAGTATATCTGCTAGACTATTATATAGTGGTGCTATAAGAGTTCATGACATTGAAACACTTATGTCAAAAGTTTTATATCTCAACTATACAAATGTTTTCAAAGAGGACATAGAAAATATATTGAGGGTATAGAGTTTGTGAGATGTCATTGGACAGAGTTGTATGAAAAATATAAAGACAAGGAAAATGTTTTCTTTATAGTGGACCCGCCGTTCTATAAACATGGGATTTTCATACCAAGTAGACTGGACTTTGAGAGACTCTTTAGAAACTTTAGACGTTATACATAACCATCCATGCTTTTACTTTACATCCGATAAAAGTGGTTTGGAAACCGTTATGAGATGGTTAGAGGACATACATGACTATGAGTTTAGATATGACAAGATAGAATATGAGAGAGGTCCTATAAACTGGAGAAAGTGTCATAACAAAGAAATTTTACTAGTAAGTAAATGTGGTTTGAAATAGGACTACTTGTTTTTAGGTTTTTTTCCATTGTGTCATTTATTTATTTGACGTGGCAGAAAAGTACAGAGAATATGAAGATGAACCAATGCCTGCAAATGTCCAGTATATGTACTCGTAAGAGATATTTTTATCTAATATTAAATGGACGCACAGAACTTAGCGAATGCACAGCAACCTGGACAACCAAACCCAGAGAATATTCAAATGAAGTTAGAATACAAACTGCAATGGCAAACTATGGTCAAGTGCCAACAGATGTACAAATGCAAACTGCCATGTCAAATGACGCTGCGTTAGGTTTGCCACATGGTATGCAAATATGAGATGGAAAGAGTTTTATACAAACCCTGAAGTGGGATATAAACAACTTTATGCAGATGACGCGAACAACAGGAGTTGACCCAGAATATGTTTTCTACCAGAGGAGAAACAGAATGTATGAGCTCCAGTTAAAGAATGCTATGGAACTCAACAGGAAACGTAAGAGACTAGGCGGACATTAGATTTTTACATATAGTAAAATGGGTTTCTTTGGAAGAATAGGAAACTTCTTTCGAAATGTTGGAAGAGGTATATGGAATGGAATAAAAACCGTAGGAAGAGGAATTTGGAACGGTGTCAAAAATATTGGTAAAAGAGTAGGTCAGTTCGTTGGTATTATACCTAAAGACCCTGAACCAGAAGAACAAGCCCCTGTTATACAACAGCCTGAACCTGCACCACAGTCTAGTTGGCAACCAAATCCAACACCTCAACCGTATTAAAAAATTATATTTTTACCGTTCGATAGTAGTTGTATATGAAACTAAGTTCTAAGTAAAACGCATGGTATAATGGAACTATTCTCTTTCTTCCATCTGTTGTAAACCATACTTGAAAGTCTGAAATACTTCCACTTGGTGGTTCGTATAACTTTGTAGGTTTTTCGTAAAAGTCATTTGCCAAGCATAAAAAAGAGTTTTGTGCACCAGAAAATGAAGCATGAACTATAATAGCATCTGAGTCGAAAACATTTTCATATGTTCATTAGGGTTTTCGACTTCATAAAAGTCCGGGTGTACTGGATATTCTGCAGGCTGATTTAACATCCTCATAAATCTATACCATGCCAAGTTGTTATATTTTGTAGAAATATAAACGTTTTTCCAAGGTCTTCTATTCTTATTGATTTTAACAGTTGCATTTTTCCTGTCATATATAATATCGAGATGGTACTCTCCCTCGTCAATGTTATACTGGTTTGCATATTCGATATAGATGTCGTTTATTTTTTCTTGAAAAGCTTGAAGAGTTGTTTCTAAGTTTACAAGCAAATTCACTTGTAAAAGTTTTCCCCGTTCAAATTTCTCATACGTACGTTTTTCTTTGTTATAGTATCGAACTTCAAAACCGACTGTAAATGGGAAACCATGTATGGCTTCTGAAATGAACTTCATTCTACGAAAGCCAATAGCTTTTGTGACAGATGGGTCTCTTAACCATCTTAACGGGTAGTCAAAACGATAGCCTTCATGCTTTACGGTCTCTGTCTCAAACTTTTGACCGACATTCGTAAAAAGTTCATCTAATGGTTTAGTTGTAGCAACTCTTGAATTTTCTTTTTCTATTGAAAGCATATTTTATCTAGAATAAAAATGTCAAATGAAACAGCGTCTATGAGAGAAATACAACACAACCGACAACTCATTATACAAGCTCTAAATAAGAACACAACAAACTTTTCAAACTATTCTAAGATATCTGAGTCATTGAAAGAAGGAAACTTAAAACTGACTTTAAACCCAATGACAGATGAGTTTCTGTTTCAAGACAATAAGAACCATACTGTTTGTATAAATCCAACAAAAGGAACTTTAAACGAGAAACCTATATCTGAACTTCTTTTGAAAGCAGATGTTGACAACAAAGCAGACAAAACATATGTAGACGATGCAATAGCAAAAGAAGAAGAAAGAGCTGACAAAGCTTATGCAACAAAAGAACATACTCATCCTGAACTAGCAGACAAAACATATGTTGACAATAAAATGTCAAGTGAAGTGACAAGAGCTGAAAACGAATATTCTAAAAAGACTCATACACATACCATTGCAAATATTGCAAACTTACAAGAAACCTTAAACAGGAAAAGTGCCGTTGGACATACACATACCATTGCAAATATTACAAACTTACAACTAACTTTAAACAGGAAAAGTGACGTTGGACATACACATACCATTGCAAATATTGCAAACTTACAAGAAACCTTAAACAGGAAAAGTGCCGTTGGACATACACATACCATTGCAAATATTGCAAACTTACAAGAAACCTTAAACAGGAAAAGTGCCGTTGGACATACACATACCATTGCAAATATTGCAAACTTACAACTAACTTTAAACAGGAAAAGTGACGTTGGACATACACATACCATTGCAAATATTGCAAACTTACAAGAAACCTTAAACAGGAAAAGTGACGTTGGACATACACATACCATTGCAAATATTGCAAACTTACAAGAAACCTTAAACAGGAAAAGTGCCGTTGGACATACACATACATCTTCTGAAATAACAGACTTAAACGTTAGCCTTGAAAATAAAGCAGATAAAACATATGTCAATGAAATATACCAAAGTTTAGTTGGAACAAAAAATATTGAAACTATTGTTGGTGACTTTTCTTTCAATGAAGAAAACAAATATTTTAG